GATATCTCCCTAATGGTTGACTTTTGACCCAACGTTTATAAAGCAAACTACCCTTTATTTTGAACAAGGAATCACCCCCTAAAGTTTTTCGCATTTGTTTTGAAACACCCTGTATATATCATATATTAAGAGTTTAAAATAGTGCGCGGTCAGGTGAAGCAAGTGACCAAGGCCGGTGACAGCGCAGCGTTCAGCGATGAAGTAGACGAATCAGATCGTTTCATTTGGGGCGTGCGCATAAAAATCGTGTTGAACCAAAAGAATAGACTTTGGCAAGATTGATATTCCTATTTTTCCTTGGCTTCACTTTCCACTCATTGTGTAAATACGGTACTAGCAATATCTACATACAGGTTGTTAACTGGACAGTTACTTATAGGAGAACAGAATGGGCAACACTATGGCCTATTGAGAACGCATGCACTCATAGGGTTTTCTGCCGACTCGTCCCGTCGCGTCGTCTATCGACGAGAGCGCCGAGGTTGCCATATTTCAGCCATAAAGCTCTTGCCGCGAGTAATAAACGAATTAACAACCTGTATATAAAATGCTAATTTTTATCTCTGTCGTCTCTACTGAAGTAACGACTTGCTCTAGAAAGTTGCTTTTTTTACTAAAATATAGCTAATTGGCTGTTCTAAAAGCTGTTGTCGCCGGACTTTTGTTTTTCGTTTAATTAAAAAAAAATATTTTTTTCCTGATGTCGTGGCGGATGCGCCATGCACCAGGCTTCAACTAGTAGTCTTATAATATATTTGGAAATATCCATATCTCTCGTGGGGAGATTCCTCACGTAAAAAAATATTTACATTTTATATCAACATAGGTCCGATTGTGTTTTGTTTCATAGCTGCAGGGGGTTAGAGTCTTTTTTTCGCCTTTCTCTGCCCTGGTGAATTTCTCCACTATTCTAGAGATTCGATGGAGACCCATCGTTTAGTGGCCATTCTCGTGACTGCTTTTGCAACGCCGCGGAAAGGTTCTGGGACTAAAAAATGCATTGATGAGCCTTATTTGGCAATTTCTTTTGCTTTTAAGTAACCTTGCGACCCTCGTGCCGTGGTACCCAGGCTAACGTAACATTGCTACACTCACCCAAAGTATTCAGAGCACACACACAATCCCACACTAGTCCAGAATTGACCTCCGTGGAACTGAGTGCCTTTAGCGCTGCTTGGCTGTTTGTGACGATGGCCACCAAACTATGTGTGTTCTTTGCTGCCTTATTTATAAATTTTGAGTTCCACAAATTCCAACTGCCGGCGTCCTCGTTCGCGTGGAATGGGAAACGCTGAATGGCGTCATTGCACATAGACGCGTCTCAGTAGGCTAACGGCAGCAATGGTGCCCAGCGGGTAGGAGAGATGGCCTGCTGGGTAATAGAGCTCATACTGCATCATCATCGAGCTCGCGGCATGCGATCCGAACTCGAGCAGCTGAGTGCAACAACATCTCAACCAAACCGGCGATATGGAAGGGTGTGAAAAGGAACATTTTACCCCAGGAGGTAGCCCAACTTTGGGAAATCCTCCCACCTCCACTGAGGTGGCCGAGCCCCATTCGGATTCTGGGGGGGGCTCATTTTCACACGACGACAGTGATCCAGCAGTGGTACACTTGGCTGCTGGATCTTCCCAAGCCACAAGTGCACAGGAGAATGCTACCCAAGGCAGCAAAGGCGCCGGGAGTATCTCCTCTCGACTGGAGAATATGGAGATCGGAGGGACAACCGATGATGATCTCTCCATAGACTCCGACTCCGAGGAGGGGCTGCTCAATCCGGAAGCCGACGCAGGCCAAGGGAAAAGCATCAAGAGGAAAAGTCTAACGGCGTTCCAAAAGGCCAAAAAAGTCTACCGGAACGCTCAGACTTTTTTGAAAAAGATGAGCTTGAAGAAGAAGGAAGACTTGACCGAACGGGAAAGAAACCTCATCAAGCTCAACGAGAGAAAAATCTCCAAATTCGAGGCTGACCAACAGTCAAAGAAAATGGAGGTGATTCCTGAGGAAGGGGAGAAGCCGTCCTCCAAATCGGTGAGAAGGCTTCAGAGGTCCGACGCTATTGTGGAATCTCCAAAGTCAGCAGACCCCAAAAAACCAAAATCTGAAAAGATACCGGTTAAAAGGGGTCGGTCTGGCGAGGGAGAAGGAAACGTAGCAAAAAGGGCTAAACCCTCGACTAGCTTCGATTCGCCGGACGAATGTCAGGTCGCTGTCATTGATCGAGCTGATCTAGATGGCAAAATGACGCCCGAAAGGTGGATGGCGGTTGAGTCGAGGATCCTGATGGCTATCGCCGAAAAGGAGGGAGGCAGCGACGAGGAAGTGATCTTCGACGGGGCTGGATGGCAGAAAGGTGTCAAAGTTGTGGGTTGCAGCAACAGGTTGTCGCGAGACTTCCTAACGCAAGTAATCCGCAACTGCAACGACATCTGGCCAGGAGCCCGACTAGAGGTCATTCCCAGATCGCAACTGCCCCTAAGAAAAACGATCTCATTATGGATCCCTCCTCCAGTACCGGAGAAGGATGAGACAACGATGAAGATCTTGGCGAGACAAAATAAGAACCTATGGACACAGGACTGGAGGGTAGTCTCATCAGTCGCCAGTCCAAACGGAAAAGGAAGGGATATAGTGATCGCCATTGACGAGGCATCACTAGATCGCTTGAGGAAATCGGAAGGAAGCATCAAATTTGGTCTCGGGGCTCTAAAGGCGAGGCTTCCTAACGACAAGAATGGCACCAAGTCAACCAGGGCTGCGGGTGGTTCAGATTAATCTGAACCACTGTGAGGCCGCGACGGAGGATTTGATGCTGTTCATGAGTGAAAAGAAGGTGGACGTGGCCTTAGTCCAGGAACCATGGATCGCAAGAGACAAAATCCAGGGACTGAGGTCAAAAGAATACATTCTACTTCACCCACAGATTACAGGTAAAAAGAGAGCGTGTATAGTAGCAAGAAGAGCACTAAAGCTTACATTGCTATCCCATTACAGCACAAACGATCTGAGCGTGGCCACGTGCGAGGACCAAAAGGGGTTCAAACTTCTACTGGTCTCAGCATACATGCCATACGACGAAGAGAATCCCCCGCCGGAAGCGGTCCGAAATCTGGTTCGAGAAGCCAGAAGAATGGGCCAACAGCTGGTGATAGGATGTGACGCCAACGGCCATCACGTCCAATGGGGAAGCAAGGATATCAATGAAAGAGGTGAGTCAATAATGGATTTTATACTTTCTAATAACCTTACTATATGCAACAGAGGCAACGTGCCAACGTTTGCAAATAAAATTAGGCAGGAAGTTTTAGATCTAACCTTGACCACGGAGGGACGGGGTTTGATAGTCGAGGATTGGAGGGTTGATCTGGAGAGATCCTTCTCCGACCATAGGAGAATACTCTTTAGGATTAAACGAGAAGTCCCGCTTGTTAAACCCTATAGGAATCCTAGAAAGACGGACTGGAGTAAATATGAAAAACTCGTGAATAGGTATTCTAGCGAAGGGGAACTAACCCATATGCCGGAGAAATCGAATCGCGACTATATAGACAATACGGTTGAGAAATTAGGAGAAGTGCTTATTAGAGCTTTTAAAAATTCATGCCCTGTTAGCCGACCCCGTAAAAACACCAAACCGTGGTGGAACGCGGAGTTACGGCAGACTAGGACAGGAATAAAGAAGCTATACAATAAAGCACAAAAGGAGAAAACGGAAGAAAGTTGGGACGTTTATAGAAAGTGTTTCAACGAATATAAAAAGAAAATAAGAGAGGCTAAATGGGTATCGGTAAAGGAATTCAGTGAGTCCATCAGGGACACCAACGAGGCGGCCAGACTGAGGAAGGTACTGTCCAAAGAACCGATGGTACCAAGCAACATCAGGAGACCAGACGATTCGTGGACTGAATCCAACGCCGAGACCCTCAATCTTCTAATGGAGACCCACTTCCCTGGCTGCAAGGACCCTGAACCAAACGAAATCGATCGGCAAGAGCCGAGAGACGACAATGGATCAGGGGACGAAGCAGAGAAGAGGGAGAAGATCAGCAGGACCATCACAGAGGAGAGGGTAGCATGGGCAATTCGTTCATTTAGCCCATACAAGTCGGCAGGAGTGGACGAAATAACACCAATCATGCTGCAAAAAGCTCCAAGGAGCATCAATACCCTACTAACCAGGATCTTCCGGGAATGCCTATATTTGGGGCATATTCCAAAGAAGTGGAGAGAGGTAAAAGTGGTCTTCATACCTAAGGCGGGTAAACCAAGCCACTCTTTACCCAAGGACTTCAGACCTATTAGCCTATCATCGTTTCTACTGAAAACACTAGAGAGGCTGATAGATCTACATATTAAGGAGACTACAGATATTGAGAAGCAATGTGCTGCGCAACACGCATACCTTAAAGGTAAGTCAGTCGAAAGTGCTCTGCATTCGGTAGTAGGTACAATTGAAAAATCCCTCAGGGATAAGGAATACACATTAGTGGCTTTCTTAGACATAGAGGGTGCTTTCAATAATGTAAAGACAGAGGCGATCAAAAAAGCCATGGAGGAACTAAAGGTAGAGCAATTAACCATCAACTGGGTGTTAGAAATGCTAGAGAACAGGACTATCACATCGGAGATGGGAAACAGCTCAGCCAAAAAGTGTGCAACAAGAGGCACGCCACAAGGAGGGGTATTATCACCTCTGCTGTGGCTGATTGTAATGAACCCGATCCTGACCTCTCTGACAATGAAGGGAATTAGGATAAAGGCATATGCAGACGACGTGGTAATATTGATCGTTGGCAAAGACTTGCAGACGATCAGTGACATCATGAATCTGCTCTGAAGAAGTTAACGGAATGGGCAAAAGGAATGGTTTGGGCATCAGCCCAGACAAAACCGAGCTCATCTCTGTTTACAAGAAAATACAAGATACCCAAGTTCACGCTACCAAAGCTGGAAGGGAAGACACTTTGTACTTGCTAAGAGACAAAAATATTTAGGAATCATTCTGGACTCGAAGCTTTCCTGGAAAAGGAACACGGAGGAAAAGGATGATAAAGGGAATAAATGCATTCTATGCATGTAAAAACTATTTGGAAAGAGATGGGGTCTGCAACCGTACATTATACACTGGATGTACACTGCTATAGTTCGACCAATCATCACTTATGGAGCACTAGTATGGTGGGAAGCCGGAGTACTTAAAGAGACTAATAGAAAAAAGCCTCACAAAAAGTACAGCGATTAGCAGCTCTAGGTACAACTGGAGCAAGGAACAACACAGCGCAAGCTGCGCTAGAAGCGCAATTCTGTGGACTTGCAATCAATCGACTGGCTCGTAAAGGATCTGGCCGCTAAGGGTGCCCTAAGATTAAGGGAATCCAATCTGTGGAACCAGACCAACTACGGTCACTCGAGGATATTGCCAGTGATAGGGAGGGAAATCATGGTGAACACGAGTCCACATCTGCTAGACCAGAAAACGGACTATATGCTCACCAAACATGATTTTGGAGAAAAGATAAGAATTCGCATTCCGACAAGAGAAGAATGGGAAAGCAACCGAGTAATGAACACTCAAGAGATAGCAGTCTACACAGATGCTTCCGCAAATTCAGGGGAGGCACAGGTGTGGGCATCTTCTCAGAGAAACTAGACATCCGACGATCTTTTGAGGCTATCGGATGGCTGTAATGTTCTAAGCAGAGGTTTACGCCATAAAGGAAGCGGCTAGTTGTATACGAGAAAATTGCTGATAGACCAATAGGGGATATAGTGATATACTCTGACAGCTTGCCCGCATTAAGAAGCATCACCATGCAATCAGTGAGATCGAAAACTGTGATGGAATGCCGAGAAGCACTGTCCTGGCTGCGTCGGGTGGGGCTACTCTGTGCTGGAGTGCCAGGCCACAGCAATGTGGTGGGCAATCAGGAAGCAGACAGACTCGCCAAAGACGGGGCCAGGGGAGAAAGAGGCCGTGGCAGATGACCCACCACTTTTGACGATCAACACACTGAAGGAGGCTATAGGACTGCCATCAAGGCCAAGCAGCAAGAGACGTGGCAACACCGTGAGGACTGTGCTACAGCTCGAAGACTATGGCCAGTGGTAGATAGCAAAAAAGACAAAACAGCTACTAGAGCATAAAAGGACCTAGTACGCACATTTGTAGGCGTCGTCACTGGAAACTGTTCCACGGGGGTAAACCTCGTAAGATGGAAAGTTTCCTGACGACGACTACTGCAGAAATGCGGAGAGGAAGAAGAAACCATAGAGCACCTGCTGTGCCACTGTCCGGCACTGGAATACCGACGCATTAAAACTTTAGGGCAAGGTTTTTGGAGGGACTGAGGAAGCAGCAGAAGCCAACATCAGCGACATCGGGAACTTTGCAAAGAGCTGGAAGTGCTTTAACGCAAAGAAAGAATGAGAGGAAGGTTTGGTAAAACAATACAGGGGTATCGCAATGGGCCCAAGGCCTCCGAGTGAGGGATCAAATATGATCCCAAACCCCAGCAACCTAACCTAACCTAACCTATAAATTTTGAAGGTAAAAGTTACTATAATTGCGACATATTTTAATGCTAAAAAGCGTTGGCAGATTCGCGTGCATGAGTTACCATTGGAATATTTTTCTAAAAAAAATGTGTGCGCCACTGACTTTTTTCTCCTGATAGTACAGTTATATAGGCCATTTAATGGCGATAAAAAGTCGTCTTTTGATATTTTGTCGATTTCGGTAGGTATAACCGTAGATATGAGGTAGCACTCAACATCAGTGTTTATCATTAAAATCCTGCTCAAAAAACTGAACCACAATGTATATATACTACTGTCCTTGCTTATTTATTAATTTTAAACATTTGTTTATGGTTAAAAACAGGTTAAACCTATAAAAAGAGAGAAAAAAACGCTCATTGACTGTACCGACACAAAAAACTACATAGAAAAGAACTGGAAAGCTAGTAACTGTTGATTAACAAAACGAAAACGGATTAAAATAAATTCAACAGGAGGGGGGAGTTAGAGTGAATTAAAATCAGTGTGAGATTTAAAAAGAAACGCTGTCATGCAACGACATTACCTTATCGCAGCCCTATCACCGACGCTTTCCAATGCCCTTACGTACCAGTCTCCGACATTCACTTCCGTTTCCTGATATTTCTTAATGAAAATATGGTTTTTCAACTTAGTATACTTAGGCCTTTGCTTCTTATCTTTTGTTAAACTAAAAACGAAAAAAAAATCGAAAGGGGTTTCTTCAAATTAAATTCAATTAAAACCCCCCATACACATTGGTTATTTTGCCCGGTTAGGTTAAGGTGTCTCCTTTTCGTGTGTTTTAAAGGGTTTCTCGGTTATGAGTACAAAGATGACGGATTTCACATCACTGTGCTACTTTTTTTGTAAAACTAAAGATGCTACACACAGATTTGTTCTAGCCCTTTTAGTTCCTGAATTACAGGGTGAAATTTAAACTGTTGCATTTTTCGAGTACCCTTTTATCTGGGTTATCTTATAACTTGTTTAAAAGGTAAAAACTGAATCCCAAAGAGTTTTTCAAGTAGAATTCAGTGGCGTAACTAGTTTTTCGCTGCGAGCTGCCATTTTTGCGAAATATGACTCAAATTTATGACTTTTTAATGGCACCCTGTATTTTATTTATTTGCCATCTTACGACCTCTCTAAAAATGTAATGTAGTATATTCTTATTTTCATAAATAACGTAAAAAATGCTTTATTTAACTTTTTAACATAAATCAACCCATTTTAAAATAGTATTATTATTTTATTTAATTTAATTTACCCAGATAATTTTGCTTTCCATCGTGTTATCTTTATAAACTGCGCTAAAAATGAACTTGTGCAGCTGTCAGAAACACGACGCGAATCAGAGTTATTGATATTTCTAATGCCACTTGTGTAATGATTTCACATATAGAAACTTAGGGCGGAATAGCCAATAACGCTTCGTCCTACGTGGGAGACAAAAGCGCGCGATTCGGGCGGTGCGAGCGATGCGTATTTATCAAACGTTTTCTTACGAAGCTGATTCGCGCGACTGAAGCGGCATCGTAGGCAATTGAAATATGTCGCGCGAGTCAAGCTCATCGCCCGCTTTTGTCGAACGCGTCGGCGTCGCGTCGCTCGCTCGCTTTTGTCGCCCATGTAGGACGAAGCGTAACCAAAATTTGACATAAACAATAAAATATTCGATTGTTTTGATTACCTAATTTAAACCGGCCGCCCATGTTAAGGAGTTAACTAATGCCTTTTTTACATTGTTTATGAAAATAAGTACATATACAGTATATCTAGTATTTTTAGAACGCTCATAACAAGGCAAAAATTTTAAAAAAATATACAGGGTGTCCTACTTAAAAAACATAAGTTACAGTCATATTTCGAAAACGACAGCTCCTAGCAAAAAAAAAGTTACGCCACTGGAACTACATGAAAAACTCTACGGGACTCATAACCAAGATACAAAGGGGGTCGAAAAATATGCACAATATTTTAAAATTCATGGTGCCTGGTGGCGTAGAGGTACAAGCTCTCGTCTACCAATCTCAAGATAGTGGGTTCGAATCCCACACCCGGCATTTCATCAGCCGACTATTTTTATTAAAATAAAAATAGTTTGGGTACCTAGGTCGACTCAGCCTTAAATGAGTACTTGGGATTCATAATCCTGAGGTAATAATAGGCGGTTGAAGCGTAGTGCTAGCCACATTACCTTCCTTGTATACAGAACGGCTCTAGCATGGCAAGCTGTACCTTGCTACTCCCAAGGCGTTAAACGCTATAACGGGAGCTATTATTATTATTATTATTTTAAAATTCGTCATGTATTTCAGGAACTAGGATGGCTAAGACCAATCTGTATGTAGCATCTTTAGTTTCAACAAAAAGTAGCACTGTGATGTAAAAACCTCATCTTTGTACCTCTACGCATAAACTAGAAACCATGAAAAATACACTGAAACGGGACATCCTTTACAGTCCTCTCCATTCGGTTGAAACTGGGAATTAAAATAACGGAAGTGTATGTGTGGCCTTAAGTACCTACCAACAAGCTACAAAATTTCTAAATTCCGTCGAAAAATCCTTATCTTTAGGTAGAGAAGGCGGATCAGTCCCGATAACTTTGGTGAGCACTTCGAAATCAGTCTTGCAATCTTGATAGGGGAAAACACCGGTGGCTAGTTCGACCAGCGTGATGCCCAACGACCATACATCGGCTCGGACATCGTAATCGGGATTTTGGGGGTCCGGTTCTATCCTCTCGGGCTAAAATTCCACATACAAGGTGTGTCAATATCGGCTCTCACCATAGGGATCTCGGAAACGGTAAGAGATACAGGATGGCTTAACAGTACAAAACTAGTATCGACATATAGCACATATCAAGTACATATAGATGTTAATTAAAATTGAAGAATAATTATCGAATTTAATGAGAAAACGCTAAAAAGTTGGAGTGGACTGTTTATTTACCTATGAAACGTAACTCCTGGTTCTTTCTTATCGCTGCGTTTACACTTGAAAGCTGAACAACTAATCACCATTGTAATAAAGTTTATACAAAGTTTACTACATACAAACTTTTAAAAATCGCTAAAATTGTTGCTGGCGACCAAATTATGACTCATTGTTTGCCATCAAAAGAATGGCCTCTAAGGTCACAAATTCTGCTGCAGTCCGTATATGGGCGTTACATGTCCTTATATTCTTTAGTCATTGGTTTGACAGTTAGAAAAAATCTATAAAGACATTCTCAAAAAAACTTTCTTAGCTTCATCATTTGATGATGTAAAAAATAACTTATGACCTTTCCTTTTTCTGTAACCATCATCAACATAATTTTTTTAAATACGGAAATGTTTTTTTTATTTTATTTTAAGCTTGATGACCTTCCAAATATAGTAATGTGGGGCACTTGCCCAAGAAAAATGTATAATGAAGAATATTCTCATAAGAGGCAATGTGTTGGAGAGAGATGGTTATACGGGTGATTATTGTGTTGGTGACTGTGTGTTAAACATCATTGGCATTTTGAAGGTCATAAACCCCTAAAAAATGAAATAAAAAATCCAATTTTCTATTTAAAAAAAGAAAGTGGATTATGGTACCAAAAAAAACAAAACGTCTCAAGTGTTTTTTGGCGTCGCTAAAGGATAGAGCTAAACGTTTCTTTGACAGTGTAATTGTAGATTTTTTCTAACAAACTCGTAAAAAATAAAAACGAAAACCGAAAATTTCAGTTTTTGCGCCATATTTCCGGAAATGACAAAGATAAGGTTAATTACTACACGAATTATCATTGCGCTCACTGACAGGCAACTTTACACCAATTTAAGCCACCCTGTATCCTGTATTACCGTTTTCGAGATCCCAATGGTGACAGCCGAATTTGAAACACCCTGTATATGGGTGTCCCAATATTCCATGGACATAGAACTACTACGTATTTTGGAATCAAAATAAGTTCATTGTGTGTGTGTGTGGACCCAATTTACATCACACTATCCTAGAAACGGCGTATCGGCGTAACGGCGTAACGACCTTGAATAGATTTCCAGTAATTCTATTGGCTGAAATTTTTCACAAATGAATTTGACAGATAAAATTTCTGACAGATGAATTTTTCAGCCAATAGAATTTCTGGAAATATATTCAAGGTCGTTACACCGTTTCTAGGATAGTGTGGATGCACCCTAAAGGCTGGCAAAGGTTAGTCTTGGGTCGAGATTTCCGTATGTAAGAAGAGTACAATGCGTTTATAATGTACTGAACAAAGAGAGAACAGTAAACACGTTGCCAAATGTATAAAATAAACCGAGAAACTGTGCACATTGCTAGGAGACGTGAAAGGGGATATAGCAGATTTGTCGCAGTCGGCCAGTCGACCCAATCAGTACCTCTCTCAATACTTAAAGTTCTAGGGAAAGGTGTACATCATGCGTTCAGGTTCACGATTTAATTACGTCTCGTGATACTTTATTTGTTTATTTATTAACGAATCGTTGTAATTTTCCCTATAGCTTGAAAATTTTTAAGTGCAAGTTAGAAACATTTGCATTTTTAGTAAAAATAAGTGGAATTGAGTTGGTGTTCGACAGTGGTCGCGCTATTAGGACTCTGAATTCAAAAATCGATATCTATTTGAAATAACTGATTGTAGTTTTTTCAAAAGCTTTCTTAACATTTCTGCTATATTTTCTTTGCAGGCAGTATGTGAAAATCTTTATAAATAAAAAAGTTACACGATTGCTGAAAATTTGCTATGCAGTAAAAGTAAATGGATCGGTTGTTTAAAAATTTTGAATGGAAAAAACAACCTTATCGAATTTTTCTTATTTAAACATATTGCAAAAGATCCAATCTTCAAAATAAAAAGTTTCAATATCTGAAATGGTTCTTAAGTTATAGCGTGTTAAAAAGTTGAGTTTTTAAATTCGCGATTACTGACGTTTTCTCGTTATAAAAAAATGGACACCCTAACGATATCCTTATAATTCCATTTCAGATGCTCAGAAACATATCTAATGATTTTATCTAGTTATCTTTTCGAAAAAAAAAAGTCTTTTAAAACCTTTTACAAAAAAAATTGCTTTACTCGATAGGGAAAGGCGTACCGGCAACGCCGCAACAGCACACCGTCGTATTTCTTAATGAGATCCCTTACCCCACCGACTTAATATGATCCCTATAGATTCACTTCCACTCAACAAAAAGGATCTTCTACCAACCCAAAAGGAACAGTTGCCAGCACGGTATACAAAAGTGCTTCGTTTGTCCGCTAGTGGGCATCAAACTTTAAAAAAATAAACATATTTTTTTAAGATATTTTAAGAACCGTTATTTCGATTTGAATGAGATTTGGGGTGTCTATGTTTTCTATGTAGACTTCCACTAAAATTAAGAAAATGTGCGGAAACGGTGAAAAGGACCCCCACCCCTACATAAATTTTAGTAGAAATATTTTCCAACTTTACGGACGGTCCTTCTAGTATTTACTACATTTTTTGTCTTTTGTAAAACAACGTCATCGCACATATTTTTTGAGAATGTTTTGTTGCCAAATCTGACTTACAAAAAATACGTTTTGCCACATCAAGCTATGTATGCGCATAAAATCTAGTATGAGCAAATAATCTAGTTGGCGAAAATATGGAATTTTATGTTACTATCACAAATTATATTTGACAATAAGCTTCATAAATTTTAAATTAGTGAATGTTCGGGTTTATTTTTGATTAATGCCCTCTACCAGACAAGGCAAAGCACATTTGTATAGAGGTAAATTGTGTGCAATTAATTTATTTTGATTCAAAATATAAGCAGTTGTTCTATGTCCCCGGAATACTGGGACACCCTGTATAATGACTGTTTTTAAATAAATTTAATACATACTGCCATATAAGCTGCACAGCCTGCACTTCTTGACTTAGCCATGGAATCCACTAACCTACCGCTTATACCAAAATCACAGAGTTTTACGTTTCCCTTACTATCTAAAAGTATATTCGACGGCTTTACGTCTCTATGTATAACGTTATGATAATCTTTCAAATAGGCTAGAGCTTCTACAGTCTGAAATAAAACAATGTTTTATTAAAGGAAGTCTCATTGGAAGGCAGTGGTACATCTAGATACTGACTCTGAGAGGGGTAATGGTGAGATTTAAGCAAAATACTAGATTTAAATTAAATTTACGCTAAAAAGTATTGTGACTTTGGAAAAAAATAAATGTAGATTGGCCTGAATTTTGTATTTAGATTGTTATTAGCCCCCTTAGATTTAGGTACTTACTGCAACACTAACTTTCCCCAAGACCTCTTCAGGGACTGCTTGCTTAAGTCTTTTTAATAATTTATCGAAGCAAGTGTCCATCAATTCCATACAAATCCACACTTCAGATTCAGTGATAAAACAGCCTAAACACTTAACTATATATTTACAGTCGGATTTTAAAACTACTTCAATATCCATTATTATACGTTTTGCTTCGTCGCTGTTGCCTGACCTCCTCATTTGCTGTATTAAAACAGAATTTTATAATGTAACAACTACCGTATGATCGAATAAAAACGGCGTCAGTGATGGCTATGAAATGAAGATCGCTGTCATTTTGTATGTAAAATTAAATGGGGAATGTCATTGATGTTCATTTCCAAGCCAACTGGACTCCGTTTTTTTTCGATCATACGATACATACCATATGTTGCATTGCCCACCTGAGCATAGAAACATAGAACATAAGATACCATGTAAACTTTAAAAATGCTGATAAAAGCTTCCCATTTTATTTTAAACAGAAACTTATTTAAGACTTTTTAAAGAACTCCTTAAAATGAAGCAAATTTTGGGAATCAGAGAGGGGTGGATGAATTATTTCAATTAATTTATTACTTTTTTAGAAACTTTCAAAGCATTTGTAGAAGATATTGAAAATGAACAAATTGCTTCATTTTAATAAGTTCTTTAAAATTTGAAATAATTTTTCTGTAAAATAAAATAGGGAACTTTTATTTATCATTTTAAAATTTACATAGGATTTCTTATGTTCATGTCTGCGATGCAATACACTGTGTATAGTGTTATTACCTTCACTGCAATGACTTTACCACTGGGCTTGTGTTTCATTTTAACTACGTGACCGCAAGTGCCATTACCAAGTTCTTCAATATGTTCCATTTCTTTAATATCAGTATAGTACACTTTATCATCTATTAAGTAAATCACCACTGTTTTTCATAATTTCTTTTAATCTTCTCTCAACTTCCGTGTTATCGTTCGCTTTATGTGCAAATGCTAGGTGCCGCGGTCTTTGCATAGTGGGGCTGTTACTGTTGCTATTAAGTCCAACTAAAATAATACAAAAATAGAAATAAAATAAGTGTCAATATGTGGAAAAATTATGAACAATATAAAGCCAGATCTGAGGACATAAAAAGTCAAGCTTTTAAATATTTAGAACGTATTCTTACTGGGTAAGGAAGGTCTAGCGGGAGGCAACCCTCCAAAGGGAGTATGGCCGCTCATATGAGGGCTTCTTGGAGATCTGTCCTGATTAAGTCTGTCCAAAAGATCGTCGATTTTTTGTTGGGCACTGGACATTTCCGATCCACCCACCGCCAATAGTGAATATTTTTATTTCGGGAACTTCTCAGTACAAAAAAAATAACTTTTTATTCGACATAACTGAAAGCCCGAAAAATAACAGTTGACAGGAGACAGGAGGAGCAGAATTTTGACAGTGACGTTTTTGACAAATTCTTCTACTTAATAAAATTTAAGTCCTGTAACATAAGTCATATATGTCGGCCTTGTGGTCGAAATGATTGCGCCGCATTCTAGTAGACGCAAGGTCGCCGGTTCGATTCCGGCCTCGGACATGGGTGTTAAATGTGTGTGTGAGTCTGTATTTGTCCAATTTTAAACGCTAATTAAAATATTAAGAAATAACCTGGCTGAATGTCGTAATAGACAAGTGGCCAAAAATAGAAAAATTTAAAATTTTTTTTTAAAAATAAGTCATATATACCACCGGACGTTGGAAAACGTGGGGCCAAGGTATTTAAGAAGAAGAAGAATAAGTCATATATTTTCTCGAATTATATATGATCTATGTTTTAGTTATTAGATTTTCTGGAATTATTAATCTTAAATTTGTACTCTTTTGACATAATTTAGTTCTTTATATGGAGAGGCACTTATTAGCATTAATAATGTGATTAATAATCTACAAAATTACAACAATGGCATGGCACAAAATAGAAACCATAGGGAAATATAAAATATAGAAACCTTGTATACCTGGGGATTAGCAGTCTATTAGTCGCCCCCTTGTCCCCCAGTAGACGTAAGACAGAACATTGCAGCATAATTATTTTATGATTGCAGCCACCATGGCATAAGAAAATTTTGGATGCGATTCTTCGAAATTCATTATCGTTACCTCTATATCTCTGGTTAATCTAAACATTTCTCTTTATCATTAGCGCGTAATTTAATCTTGGAGCGTAATTCAAAATATGGCAAAAAAACTTAAAATTAAACCAAAATTTCAACTTTAAGTTGTAAAGTTTTTGGTTTAATATATTATTATGCATTTTATTTAAAAAATGACAGGTTCAATTCCCGTATGATCAGAAAAAAACGGCGTCCAGTTGGTTTGGAAATGAACATCGACGACACACACATTCCTCATATAATTTTGCATTTAAAATGACAGCGCCTTTCTTTCATAGCTATCGCTGACGTCGTTTTTTCGATAATATTGTATAAAAGAATTAGTAAAAACATTTTACATTTTTGAGTTTTTACATTGAAATTTCTAAAATACGAAAAAAAAACTGGTAGATTTAAAATGATCATTGAGTGAAAATATATGCTACATATAAAGTTTATATGTTATAAAAAGTGTAATAAGAGTGTTTATGTTTAAAAAATAACTGTCTATATAATAAAAATAATATTATTATTTCAAGGTATTTTTTTAAAACAAACTATAGTGCTACCGTAAATCCGAAAGCTTGATTGATTGGTGATCCCTATAGGGTAGAAATCTACGAGGGACAGCTTCTGTAGCTTCTTGGTCTTTATTTCGAAAAGCGTTCCACTTTGCCTCGTCTCTGGATCGACAAGACATCCGTCAGCTTCAGACCTGGAAAATCAAAGGAACGGGGGAATAAAACATAGATAAAACGAATTTATAGCTGCGCTTTCCAAACATGCTTCTTTGTAATTGGGCCTTTCAAGGGGGGAATTTGTTGCAAATCTTCTTGCAGTGTCGTCTTTTTTTTTCTTCGCTTTACCTTTGGACTGGTTCGTTTGAGAACGTTTTTTTAGGAGAATTAATATACAGGGTGGTTCGAATTGTAATCGGGAAAGTACGCCAAAATATTCTGCAGATAAAAATAAGTAAAACAATTCGTAATAATTTATTTCTCTAAAATGCTTAGTTTCGGAGATACAGGGTGTAGAATTTTCATTTTTATTTCGATATTTTTTTTCAAATAATTTTTGAATTACATAATGTAAATGTTTGGATGAAAATTGGTGTCTGGGTGTTTTGTACACAAGAAATTTGATTTGTTTAATTAACAAAATTTGAATTAAAACAAGTTTAATTTTTGTCAATATGACATATGTATTGATTATTTCGTTTCCAAATATCCAGGGAACCATATTGCTAGTAGCGGTTTTTACCAAGCGAACGTAAAAAACGACGAAAATGTCTATTTTTTTTACACAGTAGTTTAAATTAATACCGGTAGGGAAAAAATTATTAGTCTTCAAACCAATAAAAAAAAATATTTAGCGCCTTTTACAAGTAGGTATATGAATCATATTGACATCGAAATTAAATTTAACATGTCAAAAACTCCAAGATACCAATTTTTTTCATCCAAATGTCAACGTTACTTTAGAAATTATTTGAAAAAAATCTAAATAAAAGTAATTTTTTTCCAGATTTATATATATATATATATATATATATATATATATATATATATATATATATATATATATATATATATATATATATATATATATATATATATATATATATATATACATATATATATACAGGGTGGACTGAATTGTATTTGTAGACTTCGGCTGCATATTTTGCAGGTAAAAATAAAATAAAAGTTCTTATAAATGTATATATATATATATATATATATATATATATATATATATATATATATATATATATATATATATATATATATATATATATATATATATATATATATATATTTTATAAAACTCACCGATTTGAATAAAATGTAAAGCATTACATTGTCAGGACTAAAAATATTTTTAGATTAAGAATCTAATGATAATAAAGATAATAATAATAATCTAGATAATAACGTATTGCAGTAGGGTAATGTCAAATAAAACAATATTAGAAACATCCTAAAAAGTGACAGCGGCCGACTAGATTTTTTCCTAAAAAAATTACAGCTGCCCACTAGATTCTTTATCTAAAAATGTTTTTTGTCCTGACATGTAATGCTTTACATTTTATTTTTTAATTTCCAATCGGTGAGTTTTATCAAAAAAACACAAGAGATAAAAAAGTTTCTAAATAAACTAAACTATTAAAATTATTTTTTTTGCATGTGTTTGGTAAGATTTTTCTTTAAATTTCATTAACAAGAATGATAGGGGTAGTTTATTTCAACCCCTTCCACTCGTTTTAAAAAAGTGAAAAAATTACCAGAAAGTGTGTTTTCATAACAGTAATGCTTCCGTAAAATTTCATTAGTCTATCTCTTTTCGTTTTCAAGATAAAAAATAAAAACATTATTTTTCCGCCATCTTTGTACCGCGATATCTCACTAATGGTTGACTTTTGACCCAACGTTTATAAAGCAAACTACCCTTTATTTTGAACAAGGAATCACCCCCTGAAGTTTTTCGCATTTGTTTTGAAACACCCTGTATAAGTATATATACTATATACATTTATAAGAACTTTTTATTTTATTTTTACCAGCAGAATATGCAGCCGAAGTCTACATATACAATTCAGTCCACCCTGTATAGCCTGTATAGGCTTGGTGCATTTCAGTTGATTTCAAAAAATTCCGACAGCAGCGCTGTATACGGCAGAAATAAAAAAATTTCGCTATGTTTTTCACGACGTCCCGGTTACAGTTTATGTTGATTGCAATAAAATAATATTCAAATCGTGGCTTTGTCATAATATTTTAGTATTTGAGTTTTTTGCTAGTGCAGTTATTGAAACTATAAAACACTCAGGTACGAGGTTTGTGTGATGTAACGCTGTTTCGCGTAGTAGAAATAAGTGAAAAAGAATCTGAACTAGGCGTCGCTGTCGTGTTGCGTTGTGACAATTTCAAATGTTAATAAAATTGCCGAAAAAATGTTAACGCGTAAAGAAGAGTGTGATTATGTCGTTGTTGGGTGCAATAACATTCAATAACTGAAATTTCCCGGAACAATATTTTATAGCTTCATAGTTTCTCACACCGATTTGATCACAAGCGAAAATGGATTCAAGTAGTACGACGAAACTAGTGTGTAAACACAGTGTTCGTTACATAATCAAAAAATTAAATATTATATATAGAATAGGATATAATATGCAATATTAATGGTATACTTTTTTTTAATAATTTTTAATCAACTAGTGATTGTCTTATGAACTAAACGTTTTATGAATTATTGTGTCCCCATTAGCAAAAGCAGTGAGTAAAACTATGCTCGCTACCGTAATTGAACTCATCCAAAAAGTTTTTTTAGCTGGAATAATAAATTATAATACAAATTTGATCTTCTGAATATATCAAAATATTTACTTTTTTATTTATATTTTTAGAATTTTCAAAAATTATACTTCCTAACACTTTTAGAATAATTACATAATAATTTTTTCGTAAACCTACTCGCTATCTAAACCCGTGTATTTGTATATACCAGTTGTTTACTATATTATCCGATGGTGGCAGCACCGGCGGAGAATGCACCAAGCCTATAACCTCGGAACACTCTGTATATCAAATTACGTTTTAAAATTTTACTAAATATCCTGATTTATCCTTAATCCTATGCTGTCCGAAAATATAACAGATAGTTAAACATTAAAACACACACCTTTAATTAATTGCAAATTAATAATTTATGCACAGGTGAAGTCTCTTTAAATTGCTTTTAATTAAACATAAACATGCATAAATATCTAATTGGAATGGTTTATAATTAAACGTCCACACATCTAAACAAAATTGCCAATCAATTTCTCGATATTTATATGAGTAACAATTTAAAATAATTTTTGATTGTCTAGACAAATTTACCTATGAAAACGATATAGATTACCATTTCTAGATGTATTAGTTATTCGAAATACTAATAGTGGAGTGCTTTAAGCCCTTATGAGATACAAACCTCGGAATTCATTTACTGTGAACGAATTTTTATAAAACTTTTTGCATTGTATTGTTAATAAGGTATATTACAAAGTTTACCTATTTAAATTCATTGCTTTCACTTTAGTATTTAAATAAACACACACATGTACAAATGCATACATACAAGATGGCTCCGTTTTCCGGAAAAGCTCTGTATCAGGATTCCTATTTGAGATTTTCACTCCAAACCTTTCCAAACCTCCAACTCCAAAAATATTTTTATAGATATAGGTACAGAGTGAGTCCAATATATATCATTT